AAGGTGTGTCATGGCAACATTTATGGCACCTACCGAGAGATGAATCAGAGTGTTTTAGTGTTCTGATGGGAACAGAAATAAAAGTTGTGGTATGTCAAACTTCTTTTTATGAAAAATTCTCACAGACATCACATCACTCGCAGAATTAATTTTTCTGACATCTAATGGTAGACTTAACCCTTAACTGAAGCACAGAGCCCTCTGTCTTATCAGGTAAGGGAAATAATTAAGGTCTACAGTACGGTGACACACCCCACAATGAAAGGCAGAGATTAAATGTTAACATAAGAGTGGCAGCCCCAGGATATGTCTCAGCAGGGCGTGAGCTGCAACTTCTGCAAATGTGTTAGCAGAGTTGTATTTCCATGGAAACCCCATATAGACACCAGTAAGCTCTAAAACTGTTTATAGTAGCCTGAAACAAAATTATAAAAGCATTGGTGAATTTGAATTTTATTTATAAGAGGGTTTTTTTTAAATGTTGTTACATTTATTGACCAGCTACCCTGCCCTAGCTTTTTTATATTGTTGTTTGGTTAGCTTTAGCTGCTATTTCATGCCAACTTTACTTTACGTTTGTATCAGTTTACCACATACCCAGCTAATAACAATTCCATAACACTGTGTTCTCACTAGCAACATTTTTATTGGTTGAGGGCTAAAGGGACGTTTTGAAACTTTCCGAGCTTCATGTGGTTCCCGACCAGAAATGTATAAAACTGCAGTTATTCTGCTTAAACTGTGAGTAGATGAGACTGAGTTATACAGGGCTCTGTATACATATGTTCTAATGCTAGTATGTATACATCACATGATCATAGTCATTTCTAAAATACTAACTCAGGCCCCTGTTGACCAAAGCTGGACCTTGATTAAAGCAATAGTGACTTCACCCCACTAAGTGACCTCATTATTTACTTCCTGTCCAGAGGTTGAAATGTCACACACAGTGGAAACATAATAACTGTTTGCACACTACCATAAATGCACACATGAACACACACACATGCAGCTTTACTGTGGTTTGAACGCTGTTTCCCATGAAAAGCTTTTACTTTCTCTGCACTCACCTTTTCACACTCACGCAATATTTTGGGAGTTTTTATTTTTTCTCTTTAAAGGTGTGTAAGGGAGCTGTGTGTGTGTAGCTTCAGTATCAAATGACACGAGAAGACAAAAACATTTCACCGAGGTGTGGTGTTAAATGGACAGTGGACGTGGAAAAGTACGGTGAGTGAAAATACTTTGGTGTTTATCCTTAAACAACAAACGCAGCAAAACTGACTGCAGAACAGTCATACTGTGTATGACGGAAAATCTGTTTTGATTTCAGAAAATCAAAAAGTTCCTGGTTTGAAAAAAAGAAGTGAAGCCGCAGCATGAGTACTGGGCACATGAAAATGAGAGCAAACTACAGGCTGACACTCTCTGGAAGAACACTAAAGTTTGGCTTCCAACATAAAGTCAGGAAATTGGCCATAATTACTGTTGTAATGGAGCTTTTTTTGGTCCATCAATTGCTGCCATACTGGTACCTTTCCTGCCGTCTGTAGCCTTCAGCATCCCTTGGTAATAACCCTCCTCTGAGTGTATCCTCTCTCTGCCCATGCTGTCTGAGGAGAAGTTCCTGTACCTCTTCGGTGGAGAGGTCATTGTCGCAGCTCACACACGCTCACAAAAACAATAATCCCGATGGTACCAGTATCCTCGTTGGGTTTTCCCTGCTGCTTTCCTGTCCTCTCGTTCTATCTGTCCCTCTGACCAAGGACTTGTCCCTCAGCGTGCACTCCTGTGGCTGTGGCGCGGCTCGTCACAAACCTATGGTTCCTCCCTCCTCTCCTCAGTCTCCTCTCTCCCTCATTGGGTTCGGCTCTGCCCTTCTTTTTCCCTTCTTGTGTTTTTTTTTTTTTTTTGGTTTTTTTTTTTGGCTCTCCTACTCTATCCCTTTCATAACAAGTGGTGCCTGTAGGCTATGAAGAGTGGGCCTGTCCGTGTGTGTGTGATGTGCGAGTGTCTGTGTGTATTTAGTGTGTGTAGGGCTTTGAACACACCTCTTCCTCTTACAGTCTGAGGTGAGGCAGGGAAGGATGGGGTGTGGTGACTCACATGTACTATCAACTAATCGCTTCATTAGGAAGACACACATGTGCACACATTTTATGAGTTGTGAGGACTTCACATAGACATAACAAGTTCCCTAACATCTTACCGTGACATTACAAATTAATGACTAACCTTAATCCTCAACCTAACACTAAACCAACCCTAATTCTAATCCTAACTTTAAACTACAACCTCAAATTACCCTCTCCCCTAGTGGGGCCCTAAAAATGTCTCCACAAGGACGAACCATCTCAAAAACAATGATAGCTACACCTAGACTGCATACACACACATACACACACCCACGCTCGCAGTGACTCACTTAATATGATAAAAGCCATAAACCGAGTGCTGAAACAGTTCTGTGCTTCATAATAGCCTCAGAAATAAATGAATAATTTACAGCGTACACCCTGAAGTTACACAGGTTCTCAAAAGGTCAAAGGTTACTCTTATATAGGTTTCCACCTTTATGCTTCCAGGTTGAATATGACCTGTTCAAAGCATTCCTTGGGTATCTCTCATCATGAATCACTAACTAGTATAAAGGAGGAAGAGGGTGGAGAGTGGGAGAGTTTACAGAAGGGTGGATTTGGAGATGACAACAGTGACGTGTGGTCACACCCAGAGCATCGATGTTTCTCTGGAACAGAGCAGCTTCTAATTCAGTGATTTAAGTGGGAGGCAGGAGAGGAGGCACGACGTTTTTAATAAATCATTCAACTTGGACGTCTGTGATTTTTCTTCAAACCTTTAGCTATTTTAAGGATGATCTATTTGTGGTTAGCACTTCAGTTTAACTATTTCCATGTAATGTTTTAATCCTTTTAGACTTATTTGTGCTAATAAAGAGCATTTTCTATACTGCTTTTTAAAGCTATTTAGGTTAATTAACATCTACTTTTATCTTAGCAGTACATTTAGCAAAGGCTACGTTCTATCATGTTCAGATCACATTAATGTGATGACGTGAGGCGCAGGCAGAACAGGCAGAACATCCTTTTTTACATATAACCACTTGACATATTATGCTAATGCTCTTTTGTATGTATGAAATTCAGTTTCATCATAGTCACTATAATCCAGTGGTTCACAACATGGTTATCATAGAATTATTTCAGGGAAATACAACCACTTTTCCTTGGGTTGCCCAAAGTTTGACAAAGGACTTGTATGAACATGACAGTACTTAATATGTCAATGCAAGTGTGTCCAAGTGTGTGTGTGTGCGTCTGTGTGTGTTTGACTGATTTAAGCCACGTTAGCAAGTCTGCAGACACACCTTTTTCAGATCCATACAATGTTCAGACAAGCCGAGGAATTAGGGAGTGGTATGTGGTGAGGCAATTAAAAAAATAAAATAAATAAATGTGTCATAGAGAATATTAATATGTTTACTACATTAATGGACCAAAATATACATGCAGCAATTTGTTTAGCATGTCAGGCTATAAATAAAGGAAAACATAGAGAGTATTTCCTCTAACATAAATGCAGTCAATGCTATTTGAGTAGCAAAGACAAGACGAGACAGTAACTGAGAGGCGGGTGACGCGGTGGCAGTGGAACATTGACCAACACCCTCGGCACTTGAGCTGCATTACTAAACCTCACGGGGAAACACAAGCAGGAAACCCCAAATGGGAACGGCATCGGATGCAGAAAGTGTGGAACATCTTAGTCATCAGATCTTTTTCTCCAAAAATGAGGCA